TTTTTTTCCAGAAGGTGCACAATGTGTTTGTGGCTATCTCATATAGACGTAATAAATTTGATTTCATTGCCTGAGTTTGTGTTATGTTAAAGGCAAATACAGCCCCCAGCCCAATATATCATAGAAACTAAATAACAAGTGAGGCTTTTTAATAAATGCAAAAATCTTTACATATTTTATTCTGCATATTCCCTAGTAAGGACTTTACAACCTAAACAGTACCAAACAGCTATGTGACTATCTGCTAATTTTGGTTCCACTGATGAAGTAAAAACAAAAACCCAGTCAGCTGGATTGACTTGAAATACTTTCTGCTATTGCAGCTATTTTCATCTTATTTTCCTTGAAAATAAATCAACAGAAATGGATGTGCATTTCATAGCAAGACACAAAAATATTTCAGATAATTCAAAATGCAGTATTTGGTATTTCAGCACTTCCAGTAAGAGCCATAAAAAAATGGGGTCTATCCACAAGGATGTCTGTGCTACCACTTCTTTTCCTCAGTAATGTAAAATATTGCAAGTAGAGATTCATTCAAGTAGCAGTGCTGTACCTGCCATAGTGGTACTGTCAGGTGGATTGCTCATGGCTTCTTTTTCTTTTCTTTTGAGGAGTCTCATTCAGGCTATGTGGTGATGCCAAAGTTAGCTCAGTATAACACGTCATGGCAGAGTACGATGGTATTCATGTGCAGTGCTCAGAACTGATTGGGAGTTCTGATCTGATTTGCCTTTGGGCAATACAGATAAAACCTTGGAGTCACTGATGGAACCACTTCCTCAAGGAGAAAGTGCAACTCAGAATAATAGTGTGTGTGTCAAAAATTTGTCAGCCACCTTGAAATGGCACGTTTATTTTGCTGTACAGATAATTTACCCCTAAAATTCACCAGGCTGTGTCTGAAAATTGGACTCATCTAGCTCTGCCTGGGATGGAAAACGAGCAAACGTAAAGTTTGTTGGCTGTGATTCCCTTCAGATTATAAAAATAGTCTGAATAATTTATGCTTCTTTGGAAATGCGCCTCTCTAAAAAAAAATAAAATTGAGAGAGATGGCTGTTTCAAAATCCACATTTTGTTTTGGACTTTTATCATTAAAAACTTGACCTTCAATTTCTTCTTCTGTATCTTCATGGCATATTATCACAGTATTGTTTAGATACAATGGAAAACTGACATGCCAGAACTGCTGTAAGAATATCAAAGAAAGATGTGGTTTTGTTTCATTTGGTTTTGTTAGCTAACTTCATAGTTGTGCCATACATAATAAGTGTTGCAGGCTCCATTATAGCTAGTTAGGCTTCTGAGAGAGTGACTCATTGTAGAGATGCGTGTAGGTTCTGTATTTATCCAGCACTTTTCAGCTTACCTTGAGTGCTTGACAAATGCTAAAAGAAATTGATTTTTCAGTCTCCCTCTTTCTCTTCCCTCTCCTCATTCCATTTTGTTTCTTTCCTTTAAGAAAATGTTACAGAATAATCTTACACTACGTTTGCTTTCCCCCACCCTGTTTCCTTAGGTTTCCACTATTCACTGCTGTATATCAAATCTGCTATGAAGGGAAGCCTGTCAAAGAGATGATATCCTGCCTTCAAAGTCATCCAGAGCACATATAAAATCAATCAGGCCATTGTACTCATGCAGCTGTTTGCCTTTCAAATTTGTGTTTGAGTTCAAGTGGATGCATCATTAAGCTTCCTGCAAAGCTGCTCACTAGGCAACAGTAACGACACGAATGTCTTTGAATGGGTATTGGTTTTACTTTTACTGCCTAGTTTGACATAGCATGCAGTGTTGTTGGCTTGGTGACTCGTTCTACTGGCTAAAATATAGCTGTTTTCAAAAGCGCACTGCAGAAGTTGCACTACATGCACAGGCCATACAGAAGTGCTTTGTGTGAGTTCCTGCCATGTAAAACTCACTATGTTGTTGTCTCTTGTTAAGGCCTAGTCCAAAATCCACTGGTTGCTGTGGGAAGAGTCCCACTAGTTTTCATGGGGACTGAATCACGCCTTTAGCCTTGAAATGTTAGGAGACTTTCTTTTAAAACTTTTTTTTTTCCTGTATACACATTGAGATTTTAATGTTTTCCATGTTTGTATTAATTTAAGCAATACTGATGCATAAAGAAGTGGTGATAGTTTTCAGGGGGCTACAGGGACCTTCTAGGGAACTCTGGTGATTAATATTATGACTTATAGAACTCTTTAAAACTGCCAGACAATTTTGAAACCAATTTATAACTGAATTTAAAGTTTTTAAATACGCTGTTTTAAAGGGAATGTGTTAGAGGGGGATCATTAACTCCCCTTCTGTTTTTTAATCCTTGCATTTTTGTATTTCAGTGTTTTTCCTGTGATGTTCCCAGTTGTTTGGCTCCTCAAAAATTCCATTTCCCAAAACAAATGGGTAACCTTGACCTGGGGGTTCTGAACCCTGGAGCCTAGGGTTCGTTTTAGTCTTGTGCCTGTGGTCATTCTTCACTAGTATGATTTGGTGAGTAGCAAAGGATGCTCTTGGAGTTTCCATTGCTCAATTTGTCATGCTGCTTTTCTAGCTTAAACACCAGCTACAAAGTGCTGCACTCCACACAACACTCCAAGGAGTATCCAGGGAATTCCCTGGTAGCTCATGCTTGAGTTTTAAAAAGGGTTGTACACCGTTATGCTGATGGCATTCATTTCAGTGCCTGCCAGTGACTGGTATATCAGCTGGACTGCAGTCCTGAACCAGCATCCCTAGAGAGATGAATTCTGAAGTTACTCTTTCTCTGGATAAAACTTTAGCGGGTGCTGGATTAAGTCCTTCTGACCTGAAAACTTTGCAAAGCCATCTGTCTCTTTTATTCCCTAGATATTTCAACTCTTTTTTTTTTTTTTTTTTTTTTTTTTTTTACTTTTGCTTTTTCAGGGAGGCTAATTTTATTTATTATGGAAAAAAAAAAAAGTAATTTTTGTGGAGTAGTTTTAGAGGTTTTCTCGGTTGCTTGCTCGCTTGTTTTTTTAGGAAGGCTGATGCAAGAGAAGGCAGGTAAATGCAATCTTCTGTCTTAGTTTCTTTGTATACTGAACAGCAGTTTTTTGGGTAAAATATATGCTAGGTACATAAAGAGTGGATTTCACTCTTGTAGCTGGAAGATGAAGGTTAGAATCGAGTTTTACAGATCTCAGCATGAAGCCGATCACAGGAATGCCCATCACCTCTGAATATCCACTCCAAACCTCTGAGCAGTATCAGAACTGATTCCCTTGTTTTCTGTCATTGGTGGTGGTTTTAGACCAGAAATTGTGAGCACACACACATCTTGAAGCTTTAAGGTCATTCAGAACTTGCTAAGACAGAAGGGATGCCTGTAAATAATTGACATCCTTAAGCAGCCTGGATAACTCTGGAATAATTTGGACACCTTGGTAGAGACAAAAGGATGCTTCAGTTCAGGGGTACCATTTTTTGTGCTCCAGTGATATTTAGTAATATTTTACCTTAATTTTTGTAAGATGTGAATGTCCTCAGATATTCAGAGTTCTGAAAGATTATTTTGCCTTATTTCTGATTTTGTGCTAAGTATAGTAAAGATAGCAAGAAATCAAGTAACAGATATTTGTGGTGATTGGGAAAATCACTGGTAGAGCAGATATGGAAAAAAACACTGCTTAGACAATTAAAAGGATGCTTGAAGATTGGAAGCACTGTTACACTAACGCACACATGAAGCATACACTCCTCATTACTGCATGACTTTCAGTGTGTCTGCTCATGCTTTGTGTTGTGTTCTGGTTTTTTTCTAATGCCACGCTGGTCGACTTTGCCTTTATATGTATATATACATATATATATAAACTTTTTTTTTACATGCAGTATGTAGAACAGTAGTATTTTGTAAGATACATAAAGGGCTAAATGTGGTAAATTAATATATATTTTAAGATTATTTCTTTTCCAGTAGTACTTCCACTGAAACCCCAGCATCTTAATTGTTCTGGTTTTATACAGAAGCCTTCTCAAAAGGCAAATCCAGAGGAAAGCCTTTTGTGGAACTCATTCCTCCGGTCTGTAATGGTATTCTCATTCTTTTTAGGCAAAAATTGAGATTTCGTTAACCAAGATAATTTAATTTCTATAGGTACTTTACCATTCATATTTGCTTTTCATGCTTAGAGCATTCATTTTGGAACTAGATATTTTTTCACTACTGGCATTTTCTTCTCATTAAAGATCATGATGTGAAACTGGTACTGGACTATCAGGATCTTGTTCTACATATACTCTTTTTCCTAGTATTGGATAGTCTTACTGAAAACATTAACCCCTGTGTAAGATTTTTGCATACAAAGCTGTAAGTTTGTAACTAATTCTTCATTTATGAGCATTAATTACAAAAGAAGGCATGATCTTCTAACGATTTATCATCAGCTTGCCCTAGACATGCGTGCTGGTTTTGTTTAAAGATTGTGAATGTATGCCCATTTGAGGAGTTAGTACAAATAAACGTTTTCTCTTGGGAATCAATTTGGCTTCTCGTTTCATTTTGCATGGCTTGCAATTATATTTTACTTAGTGGAATGTGGTCTTTTTGTACATAGTGATATGTAATGAGAGCGTATATGAGATGTGAGAACTAAAATTACAAAAAGAGTTGTATGAAGTCCCGTTGTCAGCATTTTTGTTTTTGCATTAGTAAAACAGTTTCAATGAAATGGTGCCTTTGACCTCTAAAACAGATTACTGCCTTCATTTCCCTGAGTTACTGTGTGAGCCACTGGAGGGCACTGGTTGGTAAGTGACCAATTCCACTTGTTCTGCAGCCATTTTTCTTCCCATCTGTTTCCAAATCTCCTTAGGTTCCTGTATGTTTGCAGCTGTGGTACACTGTGTTTGAAGTATTTGGAGATGGTTATGGTTCAGCAGCAGATGTAAGCATTGCAGATCCATCAGAAACTAGAGAATGGGCTCAAACACCCACACCTGACTACGCCTGCCATGCCTGTGTTCCAAAGTGCTCCATCAGGACAAGTCACTGCCTCGGGTCATGGGCAATACAGTCTGAGATCTTATGACATCACCAGAAGCCCTGAAACATGCGTCCAGCAATGCTTGTTTCTGTTGCATCTTCAAGTTGCAAGAGGAAGTGATGACTGCATTGTGCTCGGTTTTCTCGATGCCTACATCAACTAATAGGGGATGTCACAAGTACTTGACAAAGCAATTCCACTGATGCCTCTGTGCAGTCTCCTGTAGAGGCGTGAGGGGAATGCCATCGAATCATGAAGTTCTTGTCAGCATTTTCATATGTGCAATTGCTCCAAGACTGGTGTTCCTACTAGGGATAGGTGAGCTGCAGCTGCTGGCAGGAAGGTTGCATTACTTGAAGTATATCTTCCTCATGGATGTGATCGTGGATGTGAGCTGTCTTTGCACAGCTGAATTATGAACAGACGCCATCTTCTGCATTAGCTGTAAAATCTTTGCTACCTGGTCACATGAGACAGAGACTACAGCTATCAGTTTGTGGCTTTTTTTTTTACTTAGTGTTTTTTCTAAGGTTTCTTGTGAATGAAGCTAATTCAGTTTGTTAGACAGTACTTAGTTGTGAAGCACTATACAGTTAAGGAGGTACGGGCTTTTTTAGTGAACAAAATAACACACTGTCTCCCTGAAAGCCTACCATAAAAGGAGAGCAATGTCTTATTTCTTTGTTTACTGATAGGGATACTGAGACAGGTAAAGATGGTTGCCCAGCAAACCTGTGACAGGATGCATTTTATTCTTCATTTTAAGCCAGAGTTTTAGCCATTAGGTCATTTCTCACTGTACTTACAACTCAAAATTGTTTTTAATTTAAGGGTACATTAAATGAACTGGTAGAATAAATATGTAGGTATATAAAAAGTACTGTCTGAATTCTAATAAGTCTGAGTGAATAGGAAGGTAAAAACCATCACAAGAGAATTAGGATGGATATATTTATTTTATGGGGGCATTGTCTTCTGTAGGGATAATGCTTTCTCACTGGATTGGTGTTTATCAGCTGGAGTTTTTGGTTGTGTGACTGTAAGTACCACACAGGCTGACACTTAGGTGCAAGAAAAATGGCAGACGAGAATTCTCTTTCACCTGGCCTGTGCTGATACTTGCCCACCGTGTTCCCACTCTGAATTTCATTGTAGGGCTGGAGTCGTATGAATGAAGTACACAGATATCACATGGACTGATGAATGCTGGAATGAAGAATCCTAAAACACGTAGCATTTCTTATTATTAAGTGTAAAATTATTTCTTTTCCACCTGGCTCCTGGTCACGCTGGAGTTTTTCTCCAGTGATTTGCAATGAACTGATGGAAATCTGAGCATGAGAAGTTAACACTTCAGTTTTGAATAATGGATGAGAAGAGTATCTGCCTTCAATCGCAGCATGTGTGAAGGAGAGCATTTGGCATTTGGCTTAAATGGAGCCTACTTCTCTTCTCAGTCTGTTCTAATTTGGTTGCAAATTCCTGCCACCATGCCTTGTATGGGTACTTCAAATACTCTTCATTGTGCTCTTATAGAAGACAATTACAGAACTGGATTTTAAGATGAGGACAGTAGGGCGAGACCCAATGGAATGGCAGCTCTGTCAGCGTTCCCCATTTCTACATTCTCTCTAACTATTTATTATATTTACCTATTGCCTGCAGTATCTCTGTTTTAGAGAAATGCTGTAAAGGGTAATTGTAGGGAGCACTGAGAACCATATGTTGATTATTTCAGTAAGTTACTAGAAACAGCTTGAACTGCTGCTTTTAAATGTATGACTTTCTTATAATTCACACCATAAGAATTAGTGAATAATAAATTAAGCACAGTTCTCGTGTGTGAGCAGTCATGAGGTTCAAATGGGGAACTGCCAAAGTCTGCTCCGTGTAATGCATATTACCCTCTGTGATGTTCGTGCTTCTTCTTGCGACTAATCTGAGTGTTTGGTTTGCTCACCTGGTCTCAAGTCATTCAGAATATTTCACCCTAGGGCTTTTCTTCAAATCCGGTCCAGTTTCCTTCTCTTCCTTGCGTAGCTCCTTTTAATCACACTACTTTGTAGTGAACCTTCACAAGAATTCTTCCTATCAAAAGGTGTATGTGTGTACATGTACATGCATTTGTGCTCATCTGTACAGATGAACCCATACCTGACATTTCTTGAAAGTCTGTGTGTGCAAGTAATCCTTGCAGGGGGCTGTGAATTCTGCTGAAGGCTTCAGAGAGGCCATCAGGAGGACCTCTCTTCATCTGCCCTTCATCACTAGCTGTGAACAGCCAGATGTTTAAAACTTCTTGGCTATGAAGTTAATGCATAGACCTTCCTATGGTTTCTTCTAGGGTGGCAGTAAGACAGTTTGGGTTAATTGGAAACATTACTACCATTTTGGAGAACAGTATTATAAATACACCCCAAGTCTCTAAAGCTCTGAAGTGCCACATGTACAAATAACACAAATTCTATGTTTAGATGAGAACGAATGACACTGTGTTAGTTTGCCCTTTCTTTCTCCAAGTCCATGTTCATTATAAATCCCACTTTAACAAATTGCAAACCATTGCTTCTTGCCATAGAAATGTACTGCAGCTTTCATCAGGGTGGATTCTTTCTGAATCTTTTGTGCTTAGAGGACTTAGCGACTATCTTGCAGTTTAATTACTAAACACAGATATGGGGTAGACTTAGAAAGCATGAGGGATTCTTAGTTGGTTTTTTTGCCTTTAAAAAAGGGTGAAGGGAATTGGAAAGCAAGCCAAATCTGGTAGCAAGCACTGGCAGGCTTCCTGATACATGTAAATAGTAATATGGAAACATTTATGAAGCATTAGCTACTGCTTAAAATGCAAACTTAAAACACAAAAGTTAATTTTGT